TTTTTTTTGTTCAATCACTTACGAACTAAGAGGCCATATAAATTAATGAGTTGGGCCTCCATTGGGCCCATTTTAAACTTTGGTCGTCGAGAAACGTCTTTAGTTGCTTTTGTTGACCTTTTTTTTTTTTTTTTGGCTGTCAACTTTCTGTTTTCTTTTGTTATTTAACGGATGTTTCATGATGACGATACATACGGGTTTTTTTTTTCTTTTTTTAAAATAGTAGGTGTTCAAACTTTGAAACATAATTTCTTTTGATATCTTAAATTAACTTTTAGATATTCTGATTTAAAGAATAATCTTCCATACAAAAAAAAGTTTAAATTTGAAATACAAAAAAAACAACTTTCTTATATTACTGCTAAATCATCACACCTTTGATAACGATATATATGTCGTCGACCATTTTGCTAACTTTGCCTTCGCTTTAAAGATGATAATGATTATCGTTTTTTTTTGTTTTTTGAAAGTAATTTATTATATAATGGGAGAGTTTTCTCTCTTCTTAAGGTGTCCACATCATCACTTTAAACTATTCACTTAATCAAAAAGGAATAATTACATTAAAACTAAAGTTTAATAATTCATTTAATTTTTTTTTTTAATTATTGTTTTCTATTAGTTACCACACAACATAAAAATTAAAATTTACATAAAACGAAAATTAAAAAAATTGTAAAATACAATAAAATAAAATAGATATTAGAAGAACTAAAACAAAAAATTCACACAAAAATTAATATAAATAATTCCAACGTTAAAATTGATTAATAAATCATACATTATTTTAATTAAGTACAAAAACAGCATACATCTTTTTAAATATAAAAATAATATAAATATATGGTAAAGATGATGTTTATTTCATAAATTTGAGAAATTTGTAAAACGTTCACATATTATAATAAATGATTAAAATTATAGATAAATAACATGAGACAATTCTAAAAGAATAGAAATCAAGTGATGCTGAATGTTTGAGGCGATGTAATAAAGTGATTAAAATGAGGATTGTGAAGTAGAAAATATGATTAAATAGTAAAAAATTAACGTTTGTTGAAAGATATGAACAACTTCACTACAAAGATATAAAAATCAATATATATTCTTAACAT